TCACTTGTCCTCAGAAACCCATGACTCAGTTGGAATCATGTGTTTGTTAAGCAGGCTGTGAGGTGACTGCTTTCTGGAATAGCTGACAAGTCATCCTTTGACTGGCTGGGATCTGTGCTTTTAGGCTCACATCTGCCACTGTCTTCTGATGATCCGTTAACCAACCATGGGATCCCTTCTTCCTCAATTCCTAAGAGACCTCATTCAAGAAGAAGTCTTGAACATGGACTGTCATACCAGAAGTTTCAACTCTTTCCTCACTGGCTTCTTTCTGTTTTCTATGCAGAAGTAGCCGCTGCCTCCAAGCTGCCCCGGTGTAGCTGAAGCATGCACGAGGACCAGGGCAAAGTCACACAGGACCTATAGGAGCCATTCTGGAACACGGACTGGTAGGTAGGTAGAGCACCTCTGGGGCAAGGCAGAGCTGCTGGGAAGGTGGTGCAGGGTCCTCTAACAGAACTTGGTGTCCTTCCTCCTGCTGACTAAGATGCCACTTCTGTGTCAGCAACGGAGTGGCCAACAGAGATGAGAGACAAGCTCTGAAATCATGAAAGATATCAGAAGGCTCTGCTAATATGATGGCTGATTTGGGAGATAAGCAAAAGCCCAGAGAAAAGAGATCTATCTGGGGGAGACAAGAAAGGCAGGGCCAGCAGAAAAGAAAGATTTTGAAGAGGTAAGAAGGGTTCAAGTAATGCTGCTGCTGCTGTGACTGACTGTGAAAACCACTAACCATAAGCCTTATTTCCACCCCTAAATGCCACTGACAGCAGTGCACTACAGTGACTTTGAGCCTCAAAGCTTCCCTTAAAGCCAGAACTCAAACTCATAGCCCTTTCGCCTTACTTCTACTCTCTTGCTCATTCAAAACCCTAGCTTTTCTTGCTAGCATTCAAATGGAATATTGAATGCTAACCCTCACACCAGTCCGAAACAAAACCCCAGCCCACAGAGCTTGCCCATTCCCTAACACTGACCTGAACACCTCAGCAGAAGAACACCAAACCTTCTCACTAACCTTTTCTTATCCTCTGGAAGGTAAATTCTAATCTTTAATTCCCAACCTGAATATCTAACACTCACAGACCCTGTTCCTGCGTTCTACTCTCCACATCTTCAACCCTTCTTCTACCCCTAAACTTGGGGTGCTTGTCTCCTTGGGACAGGGCAGGAATTGTGGGGCTTCATGAGATCCCTCGTGGCTGGGATCTGTGCATTAAGGATCACACTTGACAGTGTGCCTGAAAGGCCAACAGAAGTGCAAGGCTGGCATGCTGACTGCGGGATTCCCTCTGCCTAAGCACCTGGCAGGACCCATAGAGGAAGAGAGTTTGTGTAAGAATGATGGAATTGTTTGAGTTGGAAGGAACACTTACAGGTCACCTTGGCCAACACCCCTGTAACGAATCTGGATATCTACAGCTAGATCAGGTTGCTCAGAGCCTGGTCCAGCCTGGCCTTGGTTGTGTCCAGGAGGGACCACAACCTCTCTGGACAACCTGCTCCAGCGTTTCACTACCCTCATTGTAGAAAACTTCTTCCTTATATCCAATCTAAATCTCCCCTCGTTTAGTTTGAAACCAATTCCCCTTTTCCTGTCACAACAGACCCTGCTAAAGAATCTGTCCACTGTGTTCTTTGAGACCCACTTTAGTTACTGAAATGCTGCTTTCAGGTCTCCTTAGAGCCTTCTCTTCGACAGCCTGAACAGCCCCTGCTCTCTCAGACTGCCCTCATAAGGAAGGTGTTCCATCCCTCGGGTCATTTCTGTGGCCCTCCTCTGGATGCCCTCCAACAGGTTCATATCTCCCCTGCACTGAGGATTTCACATCTGGACACAGCCCTCCAGGTGAGGCCTCACCAGCGCAGAGTAGAGGGGCAGATCACCTCCCTCTCCCTGCTGGCCACGCTTCTTTTGATGCAGCCCAGGGTAAAGTTGGCTTTCTGAGCTGCAAGGACACATTGCTGGCTCACGTCCAGCTTCTATACATTCCGTTTGAAAATTTGCAGATGGTGTATTTATCTGATATGAAACTGAAAATAGTTTCAATTATACCAAAACTTGATTATTTGTTCAGGATGCTCTCAAATTTCTTATCAAAATTGAAAGAACAGCTGCGTATTTTCCACTATTCACAGGTCTGTGTTTATCAAACATAAAAATGCACGGATCTTTTTGCTATAACTTGAGTTATCACTGCACTATCCCCTCACAGCTCCTCCTGCTCCATCCTTGCATCTCGAGAAGTTCTCTTTTTGCAATCATCTGCTGCACTTCTTTCTATGTCTAAACTTAAACTGAAAGGCAACGGAGAAAACGTCAGGCTTGACTGCCTATGTTTTAGATCTGCTTCCTTCTCTTAAATCTTTATTTTGATTTTCAGAAGAGAGTAATTTACCAATGACACCACAGATTTGGGACTTCAGTAATGAGTTTCATCTATTTCTCTGCTGTGCTTGTGAGAATTTGTTTTCCCCAAGCTCGCTCTCCAGTCAATGGAGACAAGAGAAAGAGCCAGCCCATAGATGCCCTGCAAAACAAAGCTTATCCGTCTCTTTCACTCTTCTCTCACTCTGCACTGACTGCATAGGAGGAAGTTAACTTGCTCAGCCTGAAGTATCTGCACAGCAGTACCTTTTGCGAGCCTCCTCCTATTTTTTCTAACCTGGACCATCCTTAAGAATTTTACGGTGAATTTTATTTCCCCTCAGAAATGTAAGGCGTTTAGGATGTTTGGTAGTGATAACAATTAGAAACTCTTTGGAAACTACTGCATTTCTGTGCAGAATAGCAGCAGGTGAGAGCGTGTGACAGATCCACTTCTGCAGTGTCTTTGTCTGTGATGTACAGGAGGCCTGCCAGCAAGGGAGAAGAAGAGAAGGAAGGATAAAGTCTTGCATCCAGACTGTGAGATCATTGCACTTCTTTGTGCCGGGTTCCTCTCTCAGCAGGATGAACTGGAGTTGGCCATGGGACAAGGAAATGAAACTGTCGTTACTGAATTCATCCTCGAGGGTTTCTCAGGGCTTAATCAAAGGCTGCAGTTCTTCCTCTCTCTGGTCCTCCTACTCATATACCTGACGACAGTGATGGGGAATACAACCATCGTTTTCCTCGTGTGTGTGGATAGCCGCCTGCAAATCCCTATGTACTTTTTCACTGGCAACCTGGCATTCCTGGAAATCTGGTTTACCTCCTGCACAAGCATCAAGTTGCTGGTGATTCTGAGCTCTGGCAGGAGAGCAATCTCTGTAAGCGGCTGCTTTGCCCAGTCCTATTTCTATTTTGCCCTGGGTTGTACGGAGTTCATTCTCCTTGTGCTCATGTCCTTTGACCGTTTCCTTGCCATCTGCCAGCCCTTGCGCTATGCTGCCATCATGACGCAGCAGCTCTGCATCCTCCTGGTTGTTGCTGCTTGGGTCTCAGGCTTCACGTTCATGACTTACCACCTGGTACTGCTCTCAAAGCTCACTTTCTGTGGTTCAAACAAGATCCAGCACTTTTTCTGTGACAACTCCCCCTTATTCCAGCTGTCCTGCTCTGACACCAACTTGCTGTGGAGAATAGACTCCGTTTTGATCCTGTTCATTGTGCTGGGTTCACTGTGTTTAACTCTGTCATCTTATGTGTGCATCTTTTTCTGTATTCTACACATGCCTTCCAGGAGGAAAAAAGCTTTTGCTACTTGTTCTTCCCATCTCGTCTCATTGGCCATTGCATTTGGAAGCTGCCTTGATCTCTATTCACATCCCCCAGAACATGCTTCTTTGGAGACCAACGAAATTGTGGCTTTACTGAACACTGTCCTGTACCCGTTCTTAAACCCTTTCATCTACAGCCTTAGAAACAAGCTTGTGGCTCTGGTCCTGAAGGATGCCATTGCCCATGCAAGAGCGCAGCTTTTCCCTCAGTCGTGATGCATTTCTGGACAGCAATCTGAATTATCTGCTATTGTATATAATGCTGCTGGGGTGTAGGACACACTATGTAGAGGAGAAGCATCTTTGGATTGCAGAAGTGTTCTTAAGGGATTTTAGGGAGGTTCCAAAAGCAGGAAAACTGGGCATTTAGGTGACATAAAGTGCAGCAAGTGTGGGAAGAAAACAAGGGGTTAGGAGATGGAAAGGGCTTGTTAAGTATACATTTATCTGGTACTGCCCTGCACCTGATCTGCACACTTTGTCTCGTCTTCCATTTCACTCTATTCTTCTGTCTTCCATTAAACGCTATTTCTACTCTTTGCTGAGTGAAGTTCTCTCTTCTGCATGACGTGTACGTGGCAGTGCAGCCATTGGACAGAACAAGGTGGGGACGGAATGAATTTAGGTGTGTGTGTGACTGGGGTGGTCTGTGCCCACAGCTGGACTGCAGCTATGGCCATGGAGGCTTATATATCTGGGGCCACAGCTGGGGCCCAGAGTGGAACCCTGGGACAGATGCTGGACAGACTGAGAGTCTGAACCCAGCTGCTAAAGGTATGTACCTAGATAGATAGACAGATAGACAAATAGATAGACATATAGGCAGACAGACAGACAAATACATGTAGCATATATGTATATTTTACATATCTCACTAACATTTCTCCATCCTGCTCAGCTAGAGAGGAGATTGTGGTAGGGCTGTTGCTGCTAACTGTTTGCCAACTGGAATTATTCCATGGTCCTCAGGTAAATTGAGCACTGCCCATTCTGTCTTGTAGTTCCCCTCTCTGGAAAGTCTGCAGAAAACAAAGACCATGGCATAGAGGAAGGGAAGGGGGAGAGTCCGACATCACTGGTAGAGTTCCTCCTGTCAGGAATCTGTCCCTCATACCAGGCTCACTTTCTTTTCTTGCTCCTGATCTACCTGGTGACTGTATTTGGCAATGTCTTCACCACTACATCTCAAACGGTTTCAGAGCAAGTAGATGTCGATGAGAATAAGAATTGAAACCCTGCAAAAGTAAAATTGGCTTAAGCTGCATTCATCCATTCTAAAAATTCATCCAGAAGTCCCAGGGTGATGTCTGGCATTGCTGTGACCATCTTCTGTCCCATGTCCTTCTCTGAGGCACTGGGCAGAGAAGACAGGCTGCCATGGACAGTAAAAGGACCACAACTCCAACAGGGGAATGTCCTAGGAAATTTGGGTGGGAAGCGTCAAGAGGCTTTGAAGGCAGGGAAAAGGACAGCCTCCTGCTACAAACTGCAGTTCCATTCTCATTTTCCCACGTCCCGGCACTTCAAGAGCCCTGGGGGACAACACTACACACTTCTGCTGTGGCCTGACCCAAGCCTGGTTCTCTTCATCCTTAACAGCAAAATTGACAAGGAAGCCTGTTGGCAACACACTGGCAGGTGGGAATTCCTTCAGGACTGTCCGTCTATGCACCTCATATCCAGAAGGTACTCCTATCTTTGCTGGGGTTTATAAGTCCACCACCAGTTTCATGGCAAAACCAAACACCAGGGTCACTTCCTGAAGCCAAACCTGGGGCCAAGCCCTGTTAAGGAAATCCAGGAGAGGCTGGGCCCTATATTGCTAAAGCACATTCACTGGTAACATGGATGAAAGGATAGAGCGTCTGGAAAAGTGGCAGATTCATTGATTTACAAGGACACGTGGAGTGTGAGAATGTTAATTTCTGGAGAGCTGTCTGATTGAAGTCTTCAGAAGTGGCACGATAAGGAAAAACCAGGAAGTAAACATGATGGAACGTAGATCTGAATTCATAAACATGAAGACAGCTCCATATCCTTTGGTCATTAATGCAGGACATACACAGAGAGTGTCTGTCAAGCAGTCGACATAATTCTTACCAGTGCTTAATGCCTTCTGGGTCTGGCTGGGATGGCTGTCCTCTTCCCCACCGCAGCCCACTGCAGCAGTGCTTTCTATACCATCTCTATACCTTTCTATACCAAGTGTTTTCTATACCATCCCTATAACCACGAGCTCTCAGCATGAGCTGTGCCACATCACTGCCGTTACCCCGTGGCCACGTGTCTCAGCGCAGTTGGCCGCTGTGGTCAGTGGGATGTCCCAGGGGTCAGGACCCTGCCCCGTGCCCGTGAGGCCGAAGGAGCAGCCCCGCAGCCCTGGCTGGTGCAGCCGTGGTGAAGGCGGCTTGGGGACACCGCAGTGACGTGCTGGGCACAGAGCCAGGAGGAAACCACCATCTTCCTGCCTGAGCGCTGTGACACGGGGCTGTGGTTTGTGCACCTGCAGCGGTGGGTGGGCTCCAACTCCCAGTGCTCTGTGAGGAATAACGGCCCCTGGGCGACACGCTGAGTGCTGGGGACGCTTCTGAGCCCCTAGACTCAGTCTGCAGATCCTAGTCTGCTGCCAGGGCAGGATCTGTCCCAGCTCCAGCTCCTTCTGGGGACGCACATGGGGCCCACCAAGGAGGAATGGGTGAGCCAGCACTTCCAGTATGGGGCTCTGACCTTGCCCAAGGACCTTTCCCAGCCACTGCTCCTGGTACAGCAGGGTCTGCAGCAGGCCTAGGGGCTGTTCCCCTCCCTTACGGACACAGCCCTGGTCCCAACCCTGCGGTTCCTGCAGCGTGGGGCCAGCTGGACATTCCCATCTTGG